GAGGCGGTCAGACATGAGTTGCACAACGGCCGCACGATAGGATCGAGCAACGGCAGCGATGCTGGCATGCACACGCCTCCGAGCAGCCAGGATGATGGAGATACTGTTGGCATCACTGTCGTGGAAGTCCCCAGCTCGACGCTGGGTAAGGCCATCAGTCTTAAGACCATTTTCGACGATAGCACTGGCATCAATCTCGAGATGAAGGAGGATGGGGTGCCGATTGTGCCAGCCGGGTCCTCCGTGATTCGCGAGATGAAGGACGCAGTGCAAATCAGCTCTGCAGACCTGGAAGCCATGGACACACCTGCAGTAAGAGAACGTGAGGATCAGCTCGATCGCCGACAGACTGCGCTGGAGAAGGTTGGTGCTGAGATCGAGGAGGACAGCTTCTTGAAGGGTATCCTGTACCCTGTCACTGGCAACGGGATCGTGCTCGGCAAGACAGGTCGTTTCAGCCTATCGAACCTGCTTGGGACGAGCCGCGTGTGGTTCCAGCTGGCGCTACACCCTAGTGACGACTTTCCTGCGACCCTCGCCCAACAAGGTCCACAAGCCTTCCCCTGGTCCGCAGGTTCGGTCTCAAGTCAGATCCGAGCTTGGAGGCTGCCGGAGTGGGCCAACTACAGGACCAAGCAGCTCGACTTCACAGCTGACTTCGATCATGAAGAGTTTGTGGAGCGCTACAATCGGCTTGGTTGCCAAGCTGGCCGAGATGGAGTCGAGAGCTTCATCTTGGAGCGCGGCTGGAGCAACGGCGACGTCGTCGTTGGCAACGAGCGTGTCTGGATTCGCGAGCCTGCTTGGTGGGAAGCTGAGAGCATGCTCGATATGAAGCCCGAAGAGCCCAGCGACATGCTTGGTGGCATGGTCGGAGCGGCTGGCATGGAGAACGGCTATGCTGTACAGACGCCAAATGGTGTTGAGAACCCATTCTTCGGTGGCTCGCAGTACGGCGACTCTCGGGATAACTTGCTGAGCGTTGCACCGAGTGCGATGGCACCCAGTCGTATGGGCGCCAGATCACTAGCACCTACACACGCACAGACTATGCGTAGCATCAGTGGAGGCGACTATGGACTGGGCTACAAGGGTGATGACAACAAGGGTGGTGTGACGTACTACGGACAGGAGCTTGATCCTGAGCTCGCTGAAGGCAAGCACATCCAAGAAGAGACTGTTACCTTCAGTCGACGTATGTGGGTGTGGTATGTCTGGGCAATGACCTTCTGGATTCCTTCCTTTGTGCTGGCCCATGTGGGACGGATGAAGCGACCCGATGTGCGATTTGCGTGGCGGGAAAAGGTCTGCTTGATGTTCTTGATTGCGCTCATGAACGGGACTATCATCTTCTGGATCGTGGGACTTGGCAACCTGCTCTGCCCGAACTGGGACAAGGCATGGAGTCCGCAAGAGGTCGCTTATCATACTGGTGATACCGATTGGTGGGTGTCATACCACGGGGATGTCTATGACTTGACCAAGTTCTGGAAGCTGCAGCATTCGGACAACAACATCGAGACCACGTCAGACAACATGGAGCCTTTTGCCGGACTGAACATGGACGACTACATTGTGCCGCCGCTGACCATTGCCTGTCCTGGGCTTGTTACTGATATCAATGTCATCATGACACCGAACGAAACGCTCCTCAACCCACTCGGAGCACATATCTCCGGACCAACATTCCAGTCTGATTCCACTACGAAGCTGAATAGCATCAACTGGTACACTGAGTACTTCTTGCCACGGATGAAGGAATATTACAAAGGTGCACGGGTGATCAAGAAGTCGGTGGTCAAGTCGGATGGCGAGAACAACAATCACCAGTGGGTCATCATCGAAAACAAGGTGTACGACCTCACCAACTACTTCTACACGCTGAAACTGCAGAACAACCTGCCACAGTACTCGTTCTTTCCAGACGATGTCAATCAGTTGATCCAGGAGAACCCTGGGCAGGACATTACTGAGGATTGGAACACTCAGATCCCATACGCCAATCGGACAAACAGCATAAATTGCTTGAACAATGTCTTTTACGTCGGACAGGCCGACTTCCGAGACACGGCGAAGTGCCAGGTGAATAACTATCTCCTGATTGTCTTCGCTGGCATCTTGTGCAGTGTCATCCTTGTCAAATTCTTGGCGGCACTGCAGTTTGGGTCTCGTCGAAAGCCGGGCCAGCAGGATAAGTTTGTCATTTGTCAGGTGCCTGCCTACACTGAAGGTGAAGACTCGCTGAGAAAGGGCCTGGACTCGCTGACAGCACTCGCCTATGATAACAAGCGCAAGCTGATCTGTGTCATTTGCGATGGCATGATCGTCGGTGGTGGGAATGACCGCCCGACTCCTAAGATTGTCCTTGATGTCCTCGGCGTGGACCCGAAAGTCGACCCTCCTGCCCTGCCCTTCAGGTCTGTCGGTGTCGGTAATGAGCAGCTCAACTACGGCAAGGTCTACTCTGGCCTCTACGAATTTGAAGGCAATGTTGTACCTTACATTGTTGTGGTGAAGGTGGGCAAGGAGTCCGAGCAGAACAAGTCTAAGCCTGGTAATCGCGGCAAGCGAGACAGTCAGATCATGCTCATGTCCTTCCTGAACCGCGTCCACCATCGCTCAGCCATGAGTCCGCTGGAGTTGGAGATGTTTCATCAAATCAACAATATCATCGGTGTTGATCCGGAGCTATATGAGTACCTCTTCATGGTCGACGCTGATACGAAGGTCAAGGAAGACTCGCTCAACAGGCTTGTGGCTGCTTGTGCGAATGACTCGAAGATTGTCGGTATCTGTGGTGAGACTTCGCTTGAGAATGAGGAGAGGAGTTGGTGGACCATGATTCAGGTGTACGAGTACTACATCTCTCACAATCTATCGAAGGCTTTCGAGAGCTTGTTCGGGAGTGTGACGTGTTTGCCTGGGTGGTAAGTCCTGAGAGTCTCGAGGATGATATTGATGGGCTAAGCTGACATTGATTTAGTTTCTGCATGTACCGACTGCGCACTGCCGACAAAGGCCGACCTCTGATCATCTCGAATAAGATCATTGATGAGTACGCGGTCAACAATCTCGACACACTGCACAAGAAGAACTTGCTCGCGCTCGGAGAAGATCGATACCTGACTACGCTAATGACGAAGCATTTCCCCAATATGTCCTTCAGGTTTGTGCCTGAAGCTTACGCGCTTACCGAAGCACCTGCGGAGTGGAGTGTGTTGCTGTCGCAGAGACGGCGCTGGATCAACTCGACGATCCACAACTTGGCTGAGTTAGTGTTCATCAAGGACCTGTGTGGCTTCTGTTGCTTCAGCATGCGATTTGTGGTGTTCATCGACTTGATGGGGACGATCATCTTGCCGGCGACTTGTGCGTACCTGGCCTACTTGATCTACCGCGTAGCGTCTGGGACTGGGCAGTTTCCGCTTATCTCGATTGTTATGATTGCGGCCGTGTACGGTCTGCAAGCACTGATCTTCATTATCAAACGACAATGGCAGCACATCGGATGGATGCTGATTTATATCTTGGCATACCCGATCTACTCCTTCGTCCTGCCCATATACTCCTTCTGGAAGCAAGACGACTTCTCCTGGGGTAACACCCGTGTCGTGCTGGGAGAGAAAGGCAACAAGCAAGTCGTCGCCGTAGACGACGAGGGCTTCAGTCCGAAGTCCATCCCCTTGCAACGCTGGGACGACTACGCTACAGCCAACAACCTCCCCGGCCGCCGCGGCATCCCGAGCGAGAAGGAAGGTGGCAGCGCAATGTACCAAGACGGCGGCTACGAGATGGACGATATCCGGTCAACCTACTCGAGCATCAAGCCCGCTAGCACGATCCTCGGCCACTTCCCGCAACAGCAGATGTACCGTCCGCCGCAGTCTCCGAGCCCATACGCCGCGCTGAACAGGCAGAGCACGTATAGTCGGTACACCGACCTCGCGAACCCGGGCACCGCGGAGCAACAACGCCTGATGTCCATGGGCGGGATGTCCGATTACCCGCACCCTCAGCCCGTCTCACGGCACCACTCCACCGACGCGCTGACGCAGCTCCGGCAGTCCTCTCCTCTGGGAACACCAAACCCCGGCGCTTCGCCATATGGCTACGCGTCGCAGTCGCGGCCGCAGAGTACGGCGAATTTGGCGGCTTTCACTGTTGGGCCGGGGCCAACTAATGAGGCTATCGCGGCTTGTGTGAGGGAGTGTCTTGGGGAGGCGGATATGGATAGCGTGACTAAGAAGCAGGTCAAGGCGCTTGTGGAGCAGAAGCTGCAGTGTCAGTTGAGTGGGGAGAAGAGGGCTTGGTTGGATGAGAGGATTGATTGGGAGTTGAGTAATATGTAGGTACAGAAATGGGTGTTAGGCAACGGGGGGTCTGAAAACGAGGGAATGGCGTTTGCGAGGGGTTGGGATAGCATTTGGGTTGGAAAACTGGAGAATGTGTCGATTGAGAGTAGGCTGTGTATCATGTCGAGTACGACGCATCGATCTCTGCACACTTCTCCGTGTCGACGTCAAGTTTCCTGTGCAGCTGTCCATTTACTCGCAACTGTGAGCATCTGAAATGCAGCATCGATGAGAGGCCAGGCTTCGAGGCTCTGCGTGTGTACCCGAAGATCCAACATCGTACCTCTGGCATTCCATCAACAAGTAGGCCATAGATCCGACTGTGGGGCATGGGTTCCTCGCCCCAGCATCGAGTTCACCTAGCATCCTATAGCCTTCCACGTCGTGGATGTGGCTTCTGCCAAGCCAGAATCCCACGATTATATCACTGTCCATGTACGTAATGTACGCGGTAACTCTGACTTCGGTCTCTACGCGTAATAGAGAAACGGCCACTGCGACATTCTCCTCTCTGGATGCCCGATGCGACAATGGGACGGTGAAGCATGGGAGTCAGTTTTTGACATTCATATACTGTGCGATGTGGGAGTTTTCCATCCAAGCAGATGGTGAAGCGGCGACATTGCTCCGCTTCTACCATGGACATGAGATCCGATAGTGAAAGGGTATCATACGTGCTTGCCATCACACGCAAGCGTGCACGTGGCCCGAGTTCGAGTCTCGGTCGGTTCACTTTTGACCGATTCTCTGGCCGCGTCCACCTTTTGGCCGTACCCTAGGTCGTAAGGGGCAGTGAAGAGCCTTCCGCTTGTCAGTCCATGAGTCTAGCTTATCGAGCGTTTGGGTGAGGCTTAGGGTGCGGCGGGTCGATTCCAATAACGGATTTAGATACCAACTGCACACTGGAAGGTATAGCCTCGCTTACTCGCCTGCCGCCTGATCTCCAGTAGGTCTCCTGTAGGTACGGTCGCGGCCCAAGTACTTCCAGCCTCGTCTTGCGCCTCAACTTCGACGAAACCTGCGGCGTCAATCACACTTATGACCTTGTAGGGGTCAACACATACAGTGGATCGCAATAGAACTGGTCATGGTGAACCTCGTTTCCTGGTTGGCGTACGCACACGAAGCTCGATCAGGAGACTGGAGAGGAGGCCGAAATCAAGCCTTTTCCAGCCCGGAAGATCAGTTACCTCTGTACCGCAATGACTTTGCTCGCATCACTATTCGTACTGACGTCTGCATTGTGGCAGCATGTAGCAGCAGCTACCGCAGCAGCCTTAATCGGATCATCCTCCCAAGGATGCTTGTCTGCTCACGTCGGAGCGGTGGCGGCGGCGCTCGTGTGGCTTGCACCGGTATCGACCACAATTGCAAGCATGGGACTGCTCATTCTGATTTACTCCATACGGCTACTAGATCATCGTTTCACGGAACAGCCGTCTAGTGCAAGATGTAATGAATGACAATGCTTTAAGAGACGTGTATATCTAGAAAAGTCCGCTCACTGTCTAGTCCATCTAAACTATATACGTGCCAAGAGCTTCTTGGGCTGAGGGCATTATCTTACGGCGCCTGATCTTATCAAGCTTCGTCCGAGCTGCTCCAACCATCGGTAAACTGGAAGAGGAAGATTCCCGCCGACGCCAGTCCAGAAAGGATCAAGAACAAGCTCATGACGATATTGAAGCTCAGATCCATGCGTGTCGACGTCTAGATGAAAGTGACGGGCACGATAATGAATGATGACAGTAACAGAGTGAAGAGCCCCCGGATCATTCAGACCGCCCCACCGTTGTGCCAGACTTCCTGAACCGTGAGCAGCAGCATGGTGAACATCGGAGCACGCTGGCCACGGCGTACGCCCCGCTTCGTCCAAAACCTTCCGAGGGCGGCACGTGAGCTATCAGCTATGAACTCGCTCGCAAGCACTAGGCGGACAGCATAGGAGAGCAGGCCCATGGCCAATGCAGTGACAACGAAAGTCCACACTGGCACACCATTGGAGAGTTCAGTGATCTGCATGCTGAATAGAGGGCATGTGAAGGACAGAGGGATGAAGATGAACGCAAGCTCTGTCAGCTTCGTCACTGCCTTGGCCTCGGTTATGCTCCTTCGTCTTTCAGAGAACTGCATATCAGCGCGAAGGCCTGCATCTGCTTCGTTGAGCTTCCTGGTGATTACTTGGGCCGCGCGGTCCATCTCGTAAATTATCGACTGGAATTCGGTGGGCAGATCGGCAAGCTGCATTTCGTCAAAGATAGAGACAGCAAACTTGTGCAGGCACTCTTGGATCGCCGGGATCTCTATCTCAAAATCGCTGATGAGTCTACGCCAGTCGTCGAGCCGTCTTGACATGAACTAGTCGTCTAGGGAATCGTGGCTGATCTCCTCCATGGCCCACTCGGGCTTTGAAACAGAGCTGTTGTATCGCATTGTATGATACGAAAGAGTGCTAGGAGAGGATCCGCTCTGAAGCTGTGCCAGGATTCGAACCTCGCATCCTCTTGCTCCTGGATTGCCTGTGATGTCGACATGACTCCTCTCGTTGTGCGTTCTAAAAGCGAAATCTGCCCTGCAGTGGCCTCGAATTTGTTTCGTGGAAGTAGGGGCTGTATACGTGCGACGATCGGGAAAGACATATCCATTTTCTCCACGGTCGCTTCTAATAGTATCGGAGCGCGGCTCCTGGCATTATTGCTTCGCGGTAATGGCTTCTGGTAGTCCGATATTGATGGGAGTGGGTCAAGTAGGAGAAGTACTTGCGTTAAGTTAGTATTGTTCGTTCGACATCATGGAGGCTACGTACATATTGGGATATGGGATTTGCGATACCGAAAGAAGCTTGCCTTCTCCTCCCAAGCGGTCGGAATTGCATCACTCTCCCAATCGCGCCCAGTGACCTTGCGCGAGTGGACCTGTTTTGCCCGTGAAACGCCTGCGCTACGTGCAGTAGGGCTTGTAAAGCCACCAGACCTTCTTTCAGACTCTTCGCTGCGGCTCATCGGCCTTGTAGACAGCGACCAATTCCGAAGGATAATGTTGGTATCCACGACAGCACGATGCTGTCTCGCGCCCGCATCGAGCCGCCCATCTACTGTGAAACTTGGATCTGACCAAGTGATGCACCCAGGGATCCGTTTGGGCGGTTCCCGCAAATCTGGATCCTCGTTGTCTTTACGTATGAGCGCCATGTCGATCAAGGCTTCAGACTCCTGCATCAATTGCGTTACCTTTGGATTTTGATGCACGGGTCTGCACCATGTCATGCAGCCGTGGGCTTTCATAACGCGGTAAGTCTGCCAATGCGTTGCGAGGTCATCATCGTAGTCCACTCCGTTGTAGCCAGATCTATTAAGATGTTCAGCAAAGAATTCCGGATCGACTTCGAACTCAGCTCCCAGAGTCTCGATAAGATATGGAGATAAGTCTTCGACGATTATGACTCATGTGACGATTTCAGAATCAGGGATGGTTTTCAACGCTCTCAGTCTAGCAGAGAGTGCCTCCGTATCGTCCCAGTCTCTGACAACAAGGTCATCTCGCACCTCCGGGTGACTGGTGTTGCCGAAATAGTCGATGCAGAGTACTGCACCGGCGGTCCTGTGTCGTCCGTGTACATCGGATATCGAGTTCAGATGTGGAAGGCAGTCCAGCAATGCGGCTGTTCTATCATAATAATTGCGGCCCAGCCAGCTCCGTTTACGTCGAGCTCGCGATCTGGCTCTGTCGTCTGAGGGCGCAAGAGCTGCGACAGGTTCAACGGCATCATCGCCGTCGATCTCGGCATGCTCGACTTCAAGACTGCCGGAGGTTGTTCAATGGAGGTTCTTTCGGAGTCTGGTAAGGGCACGTGCAGCTCTGGAGCGGGACCAGAGTGTTCGAGCTGCCAGAGCGAGCCAACGCTTGCCTGAGATTGTTCTGTGGACGTTCGTTCAGAGTCTGGTAAGGGCACTTGCAGCTCTGGAGCGGGATCAGAGTGTTCGAGCTGCCAGAGTGAGCTAACGCTTGCCGTGTGAAGGTCTCCGTCTCAACTGCGCACAAGATCTGGACCTTGCCGCTCAGGGTCGAGAGGAAGAGCGTCGGAGACATGTGAGTTGGTACTTGACGCTATGGACTCGGGAAGAGGGATCGAAAAAGCATCGTCATACCCTGCGTCTGGCGCCAGTCCGTCATGCCTGATAAAATCTAGCTCATAAAGCGAGCTGGACGACACTCTCTTGACCCGAGACTGACTGCGACCTTCCGCAAGCGGCGGAGAGGGATGCTGGGACATCTTGTTGATGGTGAACTGCGAAATGTCGCTGGCAGCACATTGCGTCTAACTCCATTTCGAAGATAGCGATGTGCGGCCAAGGGGGCTGAGCCCTGCAGTAGTGGCTCATGCAGATACCGGTGTCTGTTTTCTGCACTATTATAACCCGGGAGACCTCCATGGAGTGTTTTCGACGGAGTCCGATCTTCTGCTAGCGTGTGCGAGTATTCCATAATATATCTCACCTCTCCCTTGGTGCACGGGCAGTAAGTTGACGCGCCGCTCCAGGCTCGCAGTAGGTGGATCGCAAACCGCAGTTGCAGCGGGCACCGCGAGATTCTCAGATCAACTCACTTGGCTTTGAACCTCATCTACTGTAAAGGTTTTCTACAGAAGCACTTCGTTCGAGGCCTACTTGATCCAAAATTCCCTGTCAACAATGTCTCCCCCCGTCGGACCTTTCATCCTCTCCCGAGCGAAACCGGAGGACATGCTCGAGATGACCAAGCTCCAATATGCCTGCTTCCCACCCTTCGTGAGACTCAACTTCATGGGCTGCCACTCCGAAGCCGAGATACCCAAGATCACGGAAACCTACATCAAAGCAATGTCCGCGGACCCAGCAGACATCTGGATCAAAGTCACGGATCCGGAGACTGGCAAGATCATCGCTGGCAGTGACTGGAAAGTCTACATGAGCGTGCCGCAGCTGGAAGCCGAGCATTGTCCGCCGTGGCTAGAGGGAAAGGAGGCGGAGCAGAGTAAGGACTTCATCAAGAAGATGAACGAGGGGAGGTGGAAGGCGATGGATGGGAACCCTTATATTTGTATTCACTCTGCCTGTGTTAACCCTCAAACCACAAGTCGCTGACGTCTTGATTTTAGACCTGCACATCTGCTACACAGACGATACATACCGTCGACGTGGTGCCGGAGGCATGATGCTGAAATGGGGTTGCGACCTTGCAGATCAGCTCTCTCTACCTGGGTACATCGAAGCCTCCCCAGAAGGTACCCATCTGTACAAAGCCTTCGGGTTCTACGATGCGGGCAAGATCGAGTGGGAAGAGGATGCTGTGGTCATGAAGCGTGACCCGCAAAGTACTGAAATTCGAGGAGGCAAGCCTAAGCCTTCGTAGACATGCGCGTACTGATCAGACGCCAACCACAAGCCGCGTAGCGAGTCGGACGCTCTGAATTGTCCACCGCTATACTCGGTCTTCTCCGAGGCTTCAGTAGGTACTGCTCATACCAGTCTAGCTTCGGCAGTTGAGCATTGCAACGGTGTGTCCGTGAGAGATGAGAATTTGGATGGCCGGCACGGAGAAGTTAGAACTATCTCTAATTTATCGTACTACAGATCCAATGTTGCAGGTTAGATGACAGAAGCACAGGAGCGTTTTGGTACTCCGGAGGGTTGGGGTAGCAGACCCTTTGTAGGAGTCTCGGTGTCGATGGAGATCGTTCACGTCACTTGGAA